ACCTCCGTACACACAGTGACATCCACAATGTGAAGGAAGGCCTTCTGCTCTGTCTAATCTGGCTAACAGAATGCACATGATGTATAATTAATTAAACCTAACAGTGTGTTTATTGTTTTCTTCAAATAAAGTTAGTTATAAAATTCATAAATTAAGAATTATGCAACAAGCATTATTCTCTTACATTCTATAACATTGTTTGTTGATGAAAAAGAGATGTGGGGAGGTAGAAAGACAAGCAACCTTGAAATTCCAGTCATTCCTCATTGAAAGCAAGGTGGTAAACAACTTACTATCTTAAACCAAATGAGATAACAGTTACGGTTGAGTTACATTCCTTTATACAAAACGCAGATAAGCCCCTGATACAGATTAGAGGATTCATTTAAGCGTAACGGTTCTGCTAACCAAAAAGAATCTATTTACAAACTTTCTCATTACGCTGTACTCAAAGTTGGACTTTTGTCTTTTTAACAGTTACTCTCGTAATCACACCTATGACACGTATGTGGGTCGAGGGTATGTGATCGCTGGCATGGACGAGGGCCTCATTGGAGTTTGTATTGGCGAGAGACGGACCATCACCATCCCACCACACCTCGCTTATGGAGAGGAGGGCACGGGTGCGTGTGCACTTAAAATATTCAACTTTTTATATGTTTCTTCTTTGCAGACCTTTATTTATCTTTTTTTTCTGCCTCTGCTGCCAACTTCCTATAGGCTCTAAGATACCCGGCTCAGCTGTGCTCGTGTTTGATATTCACATGATCGACTTTCACAACCCGTCTGATAACACTGAGATCACTGTGACCTACAAGCCAGCAGAGTGTGACAAGCAAACCAAAAAGGGAGACTTCATCAAGTATCATTACAATGGTACCCTGCTGGATGGGACGCCAGTCGACTCCACGTACGTGAAACACCCTAACATGTTTACACAATTTTCAATATCTCAAAAAAAAAAAAAAAAAAAAACTCAATCTGCTGATATGACTGGTTTAATTATTATGCGTGGAGGCTTTGCTCTGCTTCTCGGCTGGAAAACAGTTACAATGTGGGGCTATTAACGCAATTTAAATTTTTGTTTTGGCTCCAGCATTGATTTCAGATAAGGAAAAGAGCATTTTAAACCAACTCAGCTGTTCTTAATAATCAAAATGCTGCTTTGGTGACCATTTCTCTGATTTTTCTGTACAGTGTAAGACTCAGTGAAACTGATAGACAAGACTAAAGCAGGGAGAGCACCATATCAATAGATGCATTGAACATATTGACCAGATTTCAGGACACAAGGAGGTCCAAGTTTTTGTTAAAACCCCCTTTAATAAGTTGTGGGTTTTGTATTTCTATAATATCTTTGTGAATAACACCTGGTTCAAATCCATTGTATAATAGATTATATTTTGATCTTTTAAGAATGCCCTTTCCCTCTTTTTTTAAACTCTATCTTGCTGATGATTAAAGATCTTACACTTCTGTGTAACAATGCTTCTGTGAAAAGATAATATTTCTGCTATAACAGTTTAGATCTTAATGATTCATTTTGGGTTTGGATAACCACTTCTTGCAAGGTGCGGTATACCGTTCATAACATCTTAAAATGTCTTTGTAATAAATTCCTAAAATAAAAACCTTCTTTTTTCTAAGTCACTTTGTTCAATAACAGCTAAAGTTTATTTAGTTTTAATCAACATTATTAAAAAGAGGTTTCTATTAAATGTTGTTAAAAACAAAGAAGTGAAATTAGATGAAAATACAACAAAAGAAACACCATGCAGCAGTTATAGTGATAGTAATAATGAACTTTGCAGGATAGGAGAAAACATGATGTGTTTCCTCATATTTCCTCCCTAACTGAAATGCAGCTTTCTGTTTTATCTACTATGTTTCAGGTATAGTTATGGAAAGACATATAACGTTGTCCTCGGGGCCAACCAGGTGGTGCCGGGGATGGAGGACGGTCTGATAGACATGTGTGTGGGAGAGATAAGACGGCTGATTATCCCCCCTCACCTGGCCTATGGAGAGAGAGGAGTCAGTAAGTGTTGGATAACATCAGCAACATTTTCCTCCACCGTTCATCTGCACACATTGAATTATTTGAAGCATTTACATAAAAAAAAAATGACAACTTTCATTTACTCTGCTCTTCTTTTTGTATCTGACAAACATTTCTAGAATCTAAAAGTTATAAATTTTTAAGTTGCTTCATTTTTCTTTAAAAAAGAGAATATCAAATGTTAAACTGATACGGAGAAAAAATTAAAACCAGGCACCAATTCATTCTGTGTGCAATGAAAAAACATATAATTTCTTGATAACTTGTTACAACAGCAAATCTAACTTTAAAGTTACTATTACTCATTAAATGTACCTGTGATTTAGGAATATGTCTTATTTAAATACTATTCAGGCTTAAATATAATTTATAAATATAATTAGATCAGATTAAAATTAGTTGAAGTGAAACTGATTTGGCTTTCGCTACATGAACACATGCAGATACATGCAGACAGCTTATTGTTTGTTCAAACGGGATAAAAAGGGACAACTTCGCTGTAGACAACTTCCCTGACCCCAGAATGCATTCAGCAACTCAATGGTTACTAAACTCAAAGTACTTAGACACTTTATAACAGTTCAGCCTCAAAATACTTTAAAAAACTTTTAAGACTCAGCTGATATGGTGTGTTGTCGTCAGTTCTGTGCTTAGCCCCTTTCCCCCTGCTTCTATGGATCTATGGCACAGCTTACCATTCTGGGCTCTTGGATCTCTGAACCTATCAGGTATTACCTCAGATAGGAAACCTGTGAAATCCATCTGTTTGGGCGAAAAGAATACTTTGACCTTCTAGCTGTCTTCTTCTCGAAGCCTCATCTTTTTCCAGTGAACGAGTCAGGTGTATTAGCAGCCAGGATACACCCCCTCCTGAGCGTCTCTCCGGGTCACTACAGCCTTCTGTTCTCATACAACCGCACTTGGAAGTTGGTCAATAAAATTTTAGAAACTGAAAAGTTACAAAGATGTTGTTTTATCAAACCTGAGCCAAATAAATCCTGGAGTGTGTCTGAATGTCTGCCCTTCTATATATCTACTCGTCTAGTGACCATGGATGATCACTAATGCGAAATTTAAAGTTCACTACTTTTTCATCCACTAGACGCTCTGACACTGATTTAAAATGGTGTAATCACTTTATAGAACTCTACATAGTGATTAGGGCGGACATTTAGACACAGCCCCAATAAGACTCATTCTGTAACCCTGCATCCCTTTGGTTTACACCACTAAAGAACTCATTGTTGGGTTTAAATCCAGAGAAATGTAAGTTTAAAAACTGCTGACTCACAACCAGCACCTTTTCTCACTGATCCCTTCACAGCAAAGCCTTTTATTAACAGTTTACAACTTAATAGGGCGAGTCTTAAACAGAAAACCCTGTAATGATTATCTGGTAGGATGCAGGTCATAAGACAGTGTGAAATGACCATCTGGCTGGATGGAAGTCACACAACAGTGTGACTTCCTCATGACCTACTGGATGCAGGTCATAAAAGTTTATGACCCTCCTGATTGAATCACAGGACAGAAATGTAGCATCTTATGTCTTCAATGTTTCATATGCCCACACAATAATTTTATAATTATAACTCTAACACTCATGATAAAAGATGACTCAAAATTTCAATGTCCACTCGTCAAACTAGATATTTTTTTTAATTAATAAGTTGTTAGCCGGGGATAAACAGCATCAGCACTAAAAATCAACCAATCAATAAAAAAACTAATCTTAACTAAGCTGGCTACTGCAGGATAGTGTTCAAAGTTTAGGCAGTGGAGGAGACAATTCGTATTCCAGATGTATGATGAGTGTCTCTGAGTCCTGAACAACAGGAAAATATTCTTCCCTTTTCTTGTTGAAGAGGGTTGATCAGCATAGGCCGGATCAACTCACAGTTCTCACATCATGTGAATATGATCTTAAATTCATAAATCCAACACCACCTGGAAGTTGTAATGGATTCCCTTAGTACAATCCGAATCCAACGGTCCAACCCAAAAGAAGACATCAGATTTATCCATGTAGATCGAATAATCCAATCAGAAATACAAATAGTAATCCAAGTAAAAATAAAAGAAGAATTATTCCCCATCTGCTGTTTGATCAGCTAGAAACACGAAGAATTATGTCCAGTTGTCTTATTCCTCTCAGCATTGGTTGGAAAATAGAAAAAGCAAGAAGGGAGGCAAACTGGCTCAAATTTTTAAACCCATCAGATTGGTGATATCCTTTCTTTTGCGCCAACGTTGAGTTATCAAATTACTGGTGCAAAGAAAGAGCAACCTAAATCAAAATTCTGCTTATTTTATATCCTTGAACTCCTGAGCAATGAAATGCCAGTGAAACCCACATGTCCCATGATGGCCACCCTTTTTGACAAAGGCCTCCTTTGTAACAGACAATAATTTAGCCAGCTTGCTAGCGGTCAAATCCTTTACTGCTTGCCATTCCAAAAAAAGTAAAAAAAAAACAATCCACTGGACTTTGTTTCCAAGTTTGAAGATATTTCGCTTCCCATCCAGGAAGCTTTTTCAATTCAAAATGTCAGGAATAGCGTGGAGTTCGAGTTTTATACAGTAACCCATCAAAAACCTCGAACTCGACGC